CATGCAAAGCCGCAGCTTTCCGTGCCTTCTGGCCCTCAGCAGCCGAGGCGGGCGGCGTAGCGTTAAAACTACGAAACTATCTTCGGGCGTTGTCATCATGCATGTTGCGACTCGCATTACCTCGTATGGTGCTGCTTCTGCCAAAACGACGACGAAGAATCTTGATATGTAATCATATATTGAGGATAATGAAACTGGCACACAACTGCCACCGCAAGGGTTGTGTGCTTGTGCAGATACTTCGAACTATCTTGTGACCATATTAGAGCCCAGGGTGTTGATCCTGTTGAATCTGACCATCAACACCATCATCGTTTCTTCTGAGTCGTAGCTCCTGTTGCTTTGTTTCTTTGTCTATATAGTGCATGTATGCATGTATGTATGCATGTATGCATGCATGTATGCATGTATGTATGCATGTATGTATGTAACTGTATGTATGTAACTGTATGTATGTAACTGTATGTATGTATGTATGTATGTATGTATGTATGTATGTATGTATGTATGTATGTATGTCTGTATGTATGTATGTATGTATGTACGTATGCCTTACTGTCCCAGCCTGGCCTGGAACTTGCTTGAGAGTTCAGCAGCATGTTTTTGGGAATGGACTAGCATCTGGGCCGAAAGCTATGTCTTGCCAAATCGAGAATCAGCTCGAAAATGATGCCTACTCAACAACCTCCCTGCGTAATCAAATTAAACAAGATTTCCGGCTCTGCACCCTAAGCCCTAAACTCTAAACCCTAAAGGCCCTAACCCTAAAGCTTTGTCCCGCGCATGTCGCCTCTGAGTCCCGGGCGGAGTGCCATCGCTGCCCGCAGCGGAGTTGCCTTTCAGGAACCCCGTTTCTGCTTTGGGGAGTTGCAAGACCCTTGGAGCCTTGCGTCCGAAAGCGCGTGCTGTATAATCAATGTCAGGTGCAGGTTCCTTTCTTTTCACGGCTAAGACGTGGGACCTTGGGTATGCTTGGGTCAGGGCGCTTCACCTCCCAAACAAAAGATCTCCATGAACTGAGACATGAACACAACATAAAGATGCCTTCGGGTTAGAGCAGATCAGGTTCCAACCCGATGAAATGTTGGGTCTCACGGCAGACTGGTCCGCAGGAGCTTTGGCTGCGTGCACGAACACGACGGAGGAAGACAGCGTCTGGCATGCTGGATAACACGACTGTAACATCCGTTGCCCTGCTTCCTTCGTTTGAGTCCGCTAAACCCGTAAGCAGACACAGAAGCCTGCTTTCCCGCGGGGAGGCGTGGAAGCCAGGCTCCCTGGCACTCTTGGCAGTTTGAGGGTCAGGGCAGTAAGGTTAGAGTTTAGGGTGGAGGGCAAAGGGGTCTATGAGGGCTTACAGGGTTTATTAGGGCTCACAAGGGATATGACGCTCATGTAGTATACGGAGAACTGAAGGTTAGGGCATGCTTTAGGCTTAGAGGCTTGGTGGTTGTGGGCTTTGCTCTTTCGGCTAGGTTTGAGGGCTCAGGGATTCTTCAACAGGAGGGGGGAGTATTGAGGACAACAGCAGCAATGCTGAAATTGACCTGAGCACAATATTCCTATTAGTTGTATAGCAAGTTAGGAATTGGGGTGCACTGTGTTTGAGGACCTCGCACCGTGATGGCTAAGCCCGAAAAACTGGGGTGTAGTCTTTCGGAACTCGGCTGCCCTTTAGAAGCCAGCCTTCCCCACCAAAGGTAGCAGGAGCAGTAAGGAGTAGTAAGTAAAAACGAGAGGAGCACTCATCGTCGTCACTGTCACATTAGCACTTCTGTTCTGGCTTCGGGTCTGGCGGGGTTGTCTACACCCTCCCGCCATGTTACAGGCGGACGCGACCCCTCCCCACATTCGGCTTAGGACCGTAAGGCATCTCAACAACTTGGCCGAGTCTGCCTGGTGCAACGGGTTGCCAACCACCCTGAACACATCTTTTGCTTGGGCCTGGGATCTTAGACTTGTGATGTTTCGCTGTTGATACCGGGTTTAGGGCCTTCAGGGTTTAGGATTTCGGGCTCTATGAATAAAAATTGTCTGAATCTGCTAAGCCCTACACTCACTTTCAAGCCTGAGCCCTAAGCTGCAAAACCCGACTTGGAAGGTCGGGGGGCTTAGTAAGTAGCCAATAAGTAGTTCTGGGTACCGTGGAAGGGATCCTAATTTTGGTTATGATATTTGTAACTCTCTGAAATGTTAAGTCCCTCGATCCCCCAAGTACCTCCAAATTGCAGCAAGGTCCAAAAAGGCGCCTCGTTTGTCCACTTTGGAACAGGGGAGGTCACCTGCAGAGCAGCGCGGTGGCATACGTTCCCCCTAGCGAAGAACAACCTTGAAACGTCTTTTGAAACACGGCACCCTCAACCGTAAAGCCTTCTATAACAGCATTGTGGCTGCGAATACACAACATCGCCATCGCCAAAACGTCAAGTTCCACACCTGCAACCTCTCAATCCCAAACTCCAAGCCCGCAACCCCTAATGAACTCCCTAACCCCTGAACTCTGAACCCCTGAATCCTAAACCCTTGCGAAATTCCGGTGACAGCCTCCACGATTGGAGCCCGTCGGTTTGCTGGTATTCTCCTGCGGCTCAGCTAGGGCTTAGGGTCTATTTTGGAGGTTATTCGGTGTTTAAGCTTCAGGGCTGAGCACTTTCGAGTGTTGGTGGCATGTGGCATAGAGCTCTAGAAGGATCTGACTTCGAGAGAGAGTGGCTTGTGGCACGCAAGGGCTTCACACGCCTCAAACACGAGCAGGGGTCGAAGGATACAATTGCTCACATTTCACTCTAAATCCACAGCCGGGTCGCAGACTTTCGACACAGGCATCAAAAGCAGCATTTCCACTGAGGTGCCCCATGCACCACCTAGGATCGCCTTGTCCCGAGGATGTGAGCTGAAGCCATGCCACCCGAGCAGTACGCAAGTAGTCCACTCAGAGGTTACGATTGACATTGCTGTGCTTGCGGCAAGCCCATCGGAACAACGTTGTATATCTCGCTCTACCAGAACCGAATACCCTTATCCGCTAAACCCGAAAACCAATGCTCAAACCGCAACCATCGGAACCCCCGTCCCCAAACTAAGCCCCACAAGCACTATGATAAGGCTCCTCCAGAACCCCTCAGCGCAAGCGAAGCCTGATTAAAATCCCACAGAGTCCTGTTACATCCTTTACATCTTCAGAATGAACAAACAAGCAAATAAGCTTAAACAGTCGGCCAGCTAGTCAGTAGAACAATCTAGTGAATCATCCATCCAGCTATTCCAAAAATCACTACCTAAATAATTCGTTCATTATGGCTAAATGACACACAAACGGATTGACCGTCCTTCGAGCCAGCGCGAGGCGTGCCAGTCTTTGGCCGTGGCTGCTGAGCCCTTGTCGCGCCGGCAACCTCAGGCTTTGAGGTTTTAGGTCTAGGGTTTAGGCGCTTTAGGGTTTAGGGTTGGGGTCTAAGGACGGTCTAAGGATTTTAAGGATTAGGGCTGCTGGGGTGAAAAATCAAAGACTGTTTGTAGGGCTGTAGGGTTTGAGAACATCGGGGTGTTGGCCTAAAGCTAGGTACTTCAGCTTCTAGGATTCAGGGTTTGGGTCTTAGGGATTTATTTTTTTTTAAGCTGGGAGTGTGTGGTTAGGGTTTAGGGTTAGGGGTTCAGGGCAAGGGTCAGGAGTCAGGATGGAGGATTTCGGTTGCGCATTACGGAAAGTAAGCTGCCGCAGGTGCTCTTTCTGACATCAAGGATTTAAGGCTTTAAGGTATACCTTGGTTAAGTCTCCGAACTTCGTTTGGGACTCGGAATAACTCAAGAACAGTGGTTATGTCGATCAAAAGGAAAATGAGAGCGCTCCTGCAACCATACTGACGGCACTAGTGTTGGTATGTGCAGGTAGCAGTCAAAGAAAGAGATGTGGCGTTGACAGCATTACAAACGCAGGGCATTGAAAGAGGATATGATGCCTCCATTCTCAGAAGCTCTCCGAATATCAATGACACTGCGACGGCTAGCATTGGCTAACAAAAACACGGCACGCTACCACTGCCTGATGCTAAATCCAGATCTTTTGTGATGCTGTTACTTAAGTCGTCATCGACACCACAATGCGGTAGCTGTGCAATAATTTTGTTTCATAGCCAGCACCAACATCATCTCAACTGTGTCCATTAAGATGCTCACCGAGATCGTCACAAGCATTGCCATCATCACCGTCATCATCATTATCATCATCATCATCATCAGCAGCAGCATCAACATCACCAAAATCACCCTTAGCATTCTCGGCACAGTCATGGTCATCATGACAGCCTTCATCATTATCCTCGAGTTCCGGATCATCGTGACCAGAATCGGCAGACCACCACGACCAAAAACATTACGATCACCAGCACCACCCCTACCAGCAGCACGGATTTCATTCTCACTGTCCTCTATTGACCACAACGGCAGCAGTCACCTTCAAACTAATGACATTACTCAGGAAACTGACCTTGATGAGAAAAGCAAAGTTAGGAAAAGAATGGCGGTTACCAGTGCTAGTCACGTCGATTATCGGTTTGGCTCGACAGTTTACCTACGATCGAAAACCAAAGCAATACTACTAGCACTAGACATCGTCAGAATGAGATCATGTTACAGACTATCCAGCACAATGCAAATGTCTAGAAAACAGAGGGCAATGCTCCATCTTAGTCTGCGACCTGGCTTGGTCGACTGGATGAGGAGGGAACGTGACCTGAGTAGGGGCAGCAGTGGCTAAGGTGGTTCAGGACCTAGAACCTAGGGCACAATCTCTTCAACCAAAATTCATACCCTGATAAGCCTCCATAAAGAACCTATGAGCTTGACTCGAAGCAAACGTCGTCTTCGCAGCCTGCTACCAGCAACATTCGTCGTCGCCGCGACTGTCGTAGCCGTAGCGGTATCGGTTAGAATGTTAGCAGTAGCAGTCGCAGAAGTAGCTGTAGTAGTAGGAGCAGGAGTAGGAGAAGCAGCAGTGGCAGTGGCCATGATAAGGGCCCAATCGCACCAAAGAATGTACTAAATGGCAGGAATCAGCAACCTGTTGCTCTACCCTAAGCCAGTAGATCCCAGAATACGTGCATCGCATCCTCCAGGGGCCTGGCCAGATGTGGGCCTTGGCACAGCGCGAAGGCGGCTTAGGTACGTGAAGAGGAGGGGAGGCCGGAATCGACGGCTCAGTGCTAGGGGCGTTTTTGTCTTGTGTTGGGAGTAGGGAGCCGTATATCTTCCCTACTTTTGCTTGGTAGCCAGAGCATACTTCCTCAGTAATTGTGGCATCTTCCCCAAGGCTTCTTGGGCCCTGCTGACTGTAAAGCACCTTCGTCAGTACTGAGGACCACGATCACTACCAGTCACCCCATGCCAGTCCCCGAAGAACCGAAACATACCTGAAGTCTTGGCCTGCAAACACCCCGAGACAACAAAGCCCTTAAGCCACGACAAACGAAGGATATGAAGCCCTTGCTGGACCCTGAAATGCCCTGCTGACCCATATAATACATACATGCGCCGATTTGTTCGAGAAGCGACAAGCACATAGATACATTGCTTGCTGGGTCTGTTCATATCCAATAACCATATGTATAAACCGAAAACCAAACTCTAAAGCCTTAAACCCTAAACCCTTCACTGTACTTAAAACATCTTACAGCCATCCTCCGATCCAGAGATCCTTAGTTGCCAGCGCCGCTTTCTCGGCGGCCGCTGCGCCTTCGACGCCACTTGGAGGCTCATTGGTGGTTGTACTTAGAGTTATAAGTATAGGGAACTATAGAGTTATAAGTATAGGGAACTATAGTTGTAACCCATATTGGCAACTTATAACCCTACTTATAATTATAACGACCCTAAACCCTAAAGAACCCTAAAACGAACCCAACTGAGAATTACGTGAAACTCCAAGTACGAAAGGAGCTGAGGGTTCAGGGATTTTAGGAGTTCAGGTTTACACCCTACCCTAAATCCTGAACCCGGAAACCCCTAAAGCATGAGGCCCTACCCTAAAGCCGGAGATGTTGAGATCAGCCACTGTGGGTCAGGTACTTCGGGATTGCCAGGTAGGGTATGGGGCTCTGGCAAGTTTTGAAGTGTTGGCTTCTTGAGGTGTGGGGCTGAGGGAGTTTTAGGGGCTTCAGCGTTTGAGGGTTCAGAATTTGAACCGGTTTAGGGTTTGAGCAGATTACCACGCTTGGAATAGCATCACTTTCGCGTCGAAGGCTTCAGACTCGCCAGGTTTAGGGCTTCGGGCACAAGCCTCGACACTGCGAGCTGCAACCTTCGACGTCGAGGGTTCCGCACCTTCGTCCCTGAACCCGCAGACCCTCACCTCCACGTCGTGCCCCCAAGACCCTAAGGCCCTGAGCCACTTGGCACTGATCCTAGAGGTCCTGAACCTTGGCCACGAAACTCTAAAACCCAAACCCTTAACTCGAAAGCCTTGAACCCATCAACCCTGGCCCGACATGCACCAATCCCCTTAAACCCCGAAACACCGCCGACCTCCCACCAAGCAAACACCAAACTCCAAGCCCACTCAACCCTGTAGCCCTTGAAGCCCCACATCCCACAGTTCCTAGAGAGGCCGATAGCAATCCTACAGAACTTCCCACACCCCGCAAGCCGGAGAGCCCAATGCAACGCACTTGCGGAACATACCTTGAATCATATTTCTATGATTTCTGTGTTTGGGAACATTACACCCTGAATACACTGCAAATCCTGGCTAGGACCCCAAAATTGGCCGAAATACCCAATCTTAAGTGACAGGGACCTCTGCGGAGTAAACCTTGCTGATTCTTAAGTCCTAAACGCAAAAACCTGAATGCATAGGGTGTGGGGTTTAGGCCTCTCCGGTCTACTTTGAGCCGTCGGCCTTGACTGGGACTGGCTCCTCCGGGTTGAGCACGGCTAGGGGCTCAGGGGTTTAGGGTTGACCTTAGGGGTTAGGGCTTACAGCGTCGAGGGATGTAGGTTTGTGGAATCAAGACATGAATCGCTTCAGGACGCTGAAAGTGCTCGCAATGATGAAAGTGTTCGCAAGGGCACAATGGGTTTCACTTACCCTAAACGAGTCTGAGGCGCGTGGCGCGTAGTTGCACAAGGCTTGTGAACCAACAGTGTTTTGTTCATTGCGTTTCCACTGTAGCTGTGACAGATACTATGAAGCCTGATACAAGGATAGGGCTGGTGCTCATGCTCACTTTTATCATGGCGCATGGGCGGAGGAGGAAGATGAGATGGACTCTGTGTCTTCAGAAAAAGCATCGCCGATGTAAGCACTCCTGTCGGGCAGAGTTGCTTCGCCATGGAAAGTCTAGATACAAAGTCCTAACAAGTCGGACGGCACTGATGCACTGCTTGTCTTGGATCCTCGGCTGAGCTTCGCAGGCGCACCTCCTGGCGGCATCGAGCCAGGGCTCAGGATTGAAGGGGTAGAGCGTGCCCAGCTTGAGGATGCGCACGGACAGCCTAAGCCCCGAACCTTAAATAACGAAGCCCTAAATCCAAAACTCCATATGGAACCGAAACCGTTCAACAAGCCTCAAGCAAAGGTTCCGGGTTTTTTGCAAGGCTGAAAAATCATACTTAGGGCCTAAAACTTAGGGCCCAGGGCATTTAGTGTTTCAAAGCTTTCTTATCCGAGGCGACCAACCCCAAGCTCTCAAACACACAATACTCCAAGAGCCTGGAAGAGAACCCCACTTAATCGCTAGACCCCACTCCCAAAGTCCCAAAGAAAGCTAGTAACCATGTAAACCCCTGATTAAAAGCCTCATGAAGCCCTGATGGAGCTCTTGTAAAACGGAGCAGCCTCGGGAGCCACTCGCCGCAGCCTCCGCTCTGCCACTGCCTTTTGCTCGCTTTGGCTTGTTTGGGTGTGGGTTCTCTTGATGAAGTCTTACAAGGGTGAGATGTGATTGTGTTTCAAAATCTCGTATCGATTTCCTAAGCTTTAGATAAGAAAGCGATTACAAGGCTTCCACAAGAGACTTATTAGGTACGGATTGCACCATGGTTCAGTCCATACGCCTTCCGACCCTGGCCCTCAACCATTAACCCTCCGCTTTTCGAAGTTCGGGCTCGGAGTTTTCCCGGAGGGCACCTCGCTCAGGACCAGCGCTGGAACCCGGCGAGGGTGGAGGCTTCCTGGGTGGCGCTCATAAGAGGAACACGGGAGGTTGAAAGGAGGTTCACTAATGTGGTTCTACCGAGGGTTCAGAAGCGAGATAAAACGTTCATAGGGGTTCTTTCAGTTCGTTTACAGCTGTAAACAGCCAAACTTCATCAGTACCATCGTCTTGTACCGGGATTCATGTGATTGTACATGCGTAAGATGAAGCTGGCAATTTCCGCATGTCTTACTGCTATTTCCCTGAGACTCAGCCCGCCTAAAAGCCGTCGAAAAATACCCCGCAAACGCTGAGCCGCTAAACCCCACACCCTGCAAGCCCAATGCTGACTCGAACAGAACCCCCAACCAGAAACAAAACCCTCAACTTTCTTAGCCTAAACTTTATACTTCCACCTGGACTTCTAAACCCAAACCCCTAAACCCTAAACCCTGAACCCTAAACCTCTAAACCTTAATCCCTAAACCCGAAGCCCCGAAACCCTAAACCCCAAACCCTAAACCCCTAAACCCAAACCCCTTAATCCCTAAACCCCTAATCCCTAAACCTCAAACCCTAAACCCCAAACCCTAAACCCCTAAACCCTAACCCCTTAATCCCTAAACCCCTAATGCCTAAACCTCAAACCCTAAACCCCAAACCCTAAACCCCTAAACCCTAATCCCTTAATCCCTAAACCCCTAATCCCTAAACCTCAAACCCTAAACCCCAAACCCTAAACCCCTAAACCCTAACCCCTTAATCCCTAAACCCCTAATCCCCAAACCCCAAACAAACCCTAAACCCCAAACCCTAAACCCCTAAACCCTAACCCCTTCATCCCTGAACCCCAAACCCTAAACCCCTAATCCCTTATCCCCAAACCCGAACAGAACCCAAATCACAAAACTATCAAGTTTCACATCGCTCCTTGGTTCGGCTTCCCGGGGTGCAGCGACCTGAGAGACCTGAGAAGCAGCTTTCAACTTGGGGTTTCGGGGTCTGGGGTTTAGGGGTCTAAGGTTTAGGGGTCTGGGGTTTACCGGTCTAGGGTTTAGGGGTCTAGGGTTTGGGGTTGAGGGGTCAGCCCTGAGGGGCTTATAAGGGGTTTAGGCTTTCGGGTTTATGGGTTTAGGGGTGTAGGGTGAAGGGCTTAGGGTTTAGGGAGGTGGGGAGGTGGCGGTGGAGTAGGGATTTTATTGGGTCAAACAAAGGGTTGCAAAAGCGACTAGTTGTGCAAGTATGGCAACAAAGCAGTAGCAGTGACTGGATCGCGGCACTGGAAACAAGTGTAACAGTACTAGCAGGAGTCCTGGCGACGCGCAACATCAGTTCCCACTTCGTGTCGTCGTCTCTACTTCTTTGTAAGCCCTGAATCGTGAAACCTAGGCTCTAAACCCTGGCCCTCACTAAAGCCTCCGAGGAAGGCTCCTTTGGGCAATCCTCGCGCCGCGCAGCTCGAAGGCTCGCCGCGGGCTCCTGCGAGGACAATTTTGAGGCTGGTAGCAAGTTCTCCAATAGGCGTTGTAGAATTATCTATGGTTTTACAATTCCAAGTTTACGTTCCGGGTGGGGTTTGTGGAGTTTGAGCTTATTTAAAGGTTTGGGCTTCGGGGATCAGCATTAAGGGGATTGTAGGGGAATTGATGATGACTCAAATTCAGGGGTTGAGGACCATGTGGTTCAATTCAGAGTGGATGGCTTCGGCAGAAATTCTAACGCAGCCATTTATGTGATCTCGGAGATCCGAGCTTTTGATATTTGGAAACTTTACCCTGGCCTATGTCTGCATTTCAGCCACAACGTCCCGAACAACAGCAGATTTATGTTATGCCATGTAGGCTAAACAAACATGAGAATGGGGCTTCGGGTAGATTAGAGTACAACTCTATGGGAACTATATGGGGATAGTATTACTACTCATTTTCGCCCTTCCGTTAAGCCCCAGACTCTACACCAAAACCAGTAACACGGGATCAGTAAGCACCCAAAAAGACAACACGCGCAACATCCAAAGCGGCACCCAAACCCTAAACCCTAAATCCCAAACCCGCATTGGGCCCTGGATACTGGTTTAAGGGTTCGGGGCTTTCGGGGTTTAGGGCTTTTGAAGACCCTAACGCCCCTAAACTCCTAAGCTCCAAGGTTGCTAGACCCATCAACTTACGAGAGCACGGATTGGTAGGGCTTACCGGTTCAAGGTGAAGGGCATGAAGTAAAAAAGGGAAGGGAGGGAAGGGAGGGAAGTTTAACCATTTGAAGGCTTAAGCCCCAAACCCGAAACCTTTTAGGAGTTTAGGGTTTGGGCCCCCTCGTCCTGGAGCTTGCTGAGGAATTCCTGCTGCGGAGGAGGCGTGTGGAGTGGGATTTAAAGGGTTTCGGCTTTTAGAGCCTCGGGCTTATGCATATAAAGTCAGAGACTGTGCGAAAGCGGATGGGTATCCTAGTAACTCAACACTTGTGAGCGTAATCCTGAGAAAGTTCGGGTCAGCGTTCTTGAAACGATTGGGTGTCAAGCTAAAGCAACCTCTAACCTCAACCCCACATATCCTGGCAAGCACCCGATAAGCCGTAAACAGTGACAAAGCCCCTTCAAAAAACTTCCTGGACCCAAACGACCGAACGCGGGGAGAGGGCTAGAGTTTAGGATCTAAGCCTCAGGATCTGGGGCTTAGATGGGGATTGGGGGCTTGAGGTTCAGGGATTAGGGTTCAGGTTTTGCTGCATGCCTCACCGTGCACTCCTGCCTACAAAGCACCCTTATCTGGAACGGCCCTAGCCTAGCAAAACCCACCCTATGGGCCTTTGACGGGGAAGCTCTGGTTTAGAATATCCCAACATGTTCTTGATGGACCGAAGAAGGCAAGACATTCCGAGAGTTTGTCAAGCTCTATAGTGCCTGTGGCTGTAAGTAGGGGTCTAAGGGCTGTAAAGGGGGACGAAGATGGTTGCTGCAGATGTTAACCACAAAGGGCTTGCGTCATTAAAGACTTCGACGATTGTATGGCACTCCTCAGAAACCTCTTGAAGCATTTGATCCCTACCTCTGAACCCCCTCAGGGTGAAGGACTCCAGCAGTAGCCAGCAGTAGAGCAAACGCCTGAACCCGAAACCCTGAACCCTTAACAACAAAACTACACAAGCCTTACACCCTAGACCCTTGAACCCTGTCCTCCAAGTTCTGTAGGACCCCCCACACATCCCCAAACCCTTGACCCTGAACCTTAGGCCTTAGGCGTCTAATGTAGGGGCCTTAACAAGTAGAATAGGGTTATATTATAAACCCCCAACAGTTGAGACGCTGCCTCGAAGGGCTCGTAGATGACGCCGTCCACGGAAGCTGTGAGGACGCCATTGCTGAGCCGAAGGCAGGCCCGAGCCATCCTAGGACACATTAAGGGATAGGGTTTTGGGTTTTGGGTTTAAGTTTAGGAGTTGATCTGTGGCGGCTTGAAGCCTTCAGGTACCAGCAGGAAAGCAGAAAAGAAGGATTGACAATAAACGAAATTCATGGTCTGCATATCGAGAGTCGTGGTGCTGCTGTTATCGGTGGGTTTAGGGTTTAGGCTTAGGTTGGGGCTTCCGGATAGATTTCGGGCCTTGGGTTTCGGGGTTTTCGGTTTAGGGTTCGGAATTGAACCATGCGGGTGTCGAACCGTTCAGGGTTACTTTCGACTCTAGAGCAGTAAGACTGGGCTGCCAAGGATCTTCCCGAACTCGTAGAAGCCGTTGCAACGGACAACGAGGTGGTCGAAGCCTACCTCAATTAGGGTTTTGGGGGTTTGGGGTTTAGGGTCTAGGCTTGTGAATCAGGGCCCTGAAAGCGCTTGGGGATTCTATAGTATTCTATAGGGTTCTGTGAGGGTTGGGCTAGGGGCTTTTCAAAGTTCTTGTATGCGTTCCTTCATGTAAGCGTTTTGTAAGGGTTGGGATTGCAGTTCAGGGTTGTGGCCTTTGGGTTTAGGGTATTGGGTTTTGGGTGCTGGGTCTTTGGGGCCTCGAGGCTCTGAGATCTTATTTGACGGTGTTTTGAAACGAGCTTCGGGCTTGCGAGTTATATGCTTTTGAAATCAAGATTTTGGGTGTTGGGGCTTGGGACGCAACAGTTTTGGGTGCTTTTAAGGACCACGGCAGCGGGCATGCAGGATTTAGGCGATTTCAACTTTGAGGCTGTGGGAGTGAAGGCCAGGGCCTAAACCTCACATAGGATCTGCTTCTGGGGTGGATCCGAGTCCACGAGTTTGCCAAACTAATGCGACCCGAAACCCTTGAACCAGGGCCCCAAGATGGGTGTAGGACAGCCCGAACAGAACATCCAGAACTCGACCACCAACAGCAACCCTTATACAGCACCTTAGCTATTTGGATCCAGATAAAACCCGCTCCAAAGCCCCGAAACCGTAAACCCTAAACCCTAATTCCCACTTTGGGCTTTGCGGGATCCCGGGCCTCTTCCAGCACGTCGCGCAGGGCAGCCTCGATCTGCGCGCGCTCCGCGCGTGATCCGGGCTCGTCCGGCAGCAACGGCCTGGGTTTAGGGGTAGGGCCCTATAACGCTTCATGTGGCTCTATGAGGTTTCGGGGTTTAGGGTTTAGGGTCTAGGGTATTGGGGTTTGTGGCTTAGTTCCAGAGGGCCGAATATGGGGGGTTCAGGGTTCTTTGTCCTGGACTTCGGGCAGAAGAAGGGGGGCTAGGCTTCTGGTATTCCAGAGTAGGACTCTGAGTTTCGGTTCTAGGTTTAGGGGGGCTTGGGGTTGGTGTCCCAAACCCCTTATCTAAAACTACATTGCGGAATAATTACCTACGCAGAACGGGCTGCCTTCAAACTCAAAACTCCAAATCACTGGAACAAGGTAGTCATAACACACAAAGCTACACACCTTAAACCCTGGACCTAGAACCCTGCACCTTACATCCGCAACCTTACCCGCAAAATCCTGTTCTGAGAATTTGCCAGGTGTCGTCACTGCAGGTGCAGCCGGCGATAGAGGCTCGGGACTCGCCTGCTAATGGGGCGTTGTGGGTTCAGGGTTTGGGGTTCAGATCGCGGAATTGAGGATTTAGAGGTGTTGGAAGATGTGTCACTATTTCTGAGGTTTTTCGGCTTAAGGGTTTCAGATGTACGGGTTTAGGATGAAGGGAAGCATCTCGGCTGCAAGTTATTCTTCGGAGCAAGTTTCGGCGGAACTGTGCTCGCGACGACAACTGTGGCCACACCCCAGCGTGCATTCCGTTTGCTCCAGTGTCTAGGAGTTTGAAGCCTTACTTAGCTTAGAATGAGAATAATATCCATATCATGGATTTTGCTACCCCGTCGTTCTGTTGGCCTTTGGAGAGTTGGCACTCATCACCTCTTCACCCACGAATCCCTGGGCGCTACGAAACAATAAAACAATTGCTCGAACTGCACTTGATCGTCACCAAAACAGGAAGAATCATTGTTGCCACAACTTTCAAGAGGCCCAGAACCCCAAAACCTTTGTTGTCATTACAAAGTTATTTTGTCAACGCAACTTTGTTTTTGCGAAACCGATGCTTCCAAGTCGCCGGGTCGAGGAAATGCGTGTCCGTCGGATTCCCACCATCGGGATCCTGGCGGCTTTCGACAAACCTTAAGAGATGAGGGGCCTCGGAGGTAATGTAGCCGCCTTCCTCATTTATGCAACGTGCTTGGAGAATATACTACGATAAAACATAGTAAAACTTGGGAAAAAATGGTAATTACAAAAGCGATATGATTTGCAAGCAGGACAAGGTTTTGCGAAGTTGACGCTTCGCAGACGCTGGGCCTACATGAACGTTCTTCAGCATCATAGCTCATGCTAGATCTTCTGGCCTCTCAATCTCAGTAGATACGTCGCTCTGCTTGCCCTTCCCCAATCTCGTCCTCCGCAACATCTGAGGAAGGATCGTAAGAAAGGATAGGCTCTAGAGCTTATTTCGGGTTTAAAGGGCATCTTTCAGGGCTTAGAAACTTAAGAAGGAAGCCTGCGACACTTGCACGTGCAACACAAGATTCCCAACCCTGCTCTTAGCAGCTTAGTCCACAAGCTTTTGTGTTTAGGCTTTCGGTGCTACGAAACCCTTGTGAAAGGTTGTTGCCCTCTCAAGTGTGCTCCTCTTGGGCATCCATGCCCGCCGAGCACTCCGTGACGGGCGTCACCTGAGGAGCACAGGATCTATACCATTTCCACACTCTGAGTGGTGAGGGGAGTAGACTATGGCTTTGGAGTGTACTGTAGTATGCATATCTGAAATATAATAGGGACTATAAAGGGGGTGCTATTACCAATCAAGCATTCGAGACGCTCTATCACAACATGGGCCCCCAAGCCCCCAGCGGACCCAGGCTTCTGAGATGACTCCTAAACCCCAAACCCTAAGCATCCCTCAATCGCAAACTTGGCACTTGGCACTTGGGGCGATGGCTTCAGGGTCAGGGGTTTGGGATGATGGTTTATGGCTCAGGGTTGGAAGAGCTCAGGGATATGATTGTTTCGGGTTTAGTTGTTCTGGGGCCTGGGGCTTCGGCCGGTAGGGCTTCCAGACTTTGGCGGATCTGGGTCGTCGGCACAGGTAAAACACTAAACCCTAAAGTCTTGAGTCCTAAACCCTAAACCTCCTTCCGCTCTCCTTCCTGGCTCAAACCACAAGTACCATCGGGTTCAACCAGCCAACGCCCGAAAACCTACAGACACCGCTCTTCGAAAATCCCATCGGGATTGGCAAAGGCCGGAACGCCCAAACTCCAAAGCTTAAACCTGCATCCTAAACCCTCGACCGACAAACCGGAAACCCGAAAAACCTACAGCCTAAACTCCTACACCTAGACCACAAACACGAAAAAACTAACTCTATACCGTAGGCTCTAGTTATTTAAACCCTGAAGCCTCGAAACCCTCAACCTAACATCGAGTGACGGTCGCAGGCGTGGCCACACTTGGCAGAGCATTCACAGAGACGTCCAGGTAGCCATCCTAGGGGATACGGGGGTTTATAGCGAGGTTTCTGAAAGCGTCGAGTGAAGGCTTCTTTAGGGGGTTCCTTACATGGGTTCCTCAGATGGTTCTACAAGGGCTCCTCAAATTAACTTGGGTTTGGGCGCCCGAATGACCTGGATCAAGAACCGTGTCTCAAAACAACCGACCCCAAAAACACACCCACGACAACCGACCCCAACCCTGAAATCCTGAGCCCTGATCAACTTGCGCAATGCAGCTTGCAACTGCTCTGAGGTTTGAAATCGTGCAAGGCAGTGTAGTTCTTAGGGCTTTAAGCCGTACTGAAGCTTTAGGGTCTGGGGTAGGTTCACAGCCCTCTTGCATTGCATCTCCCCCCTGAACATCCCACGGAATTCCGAGCTTGTCTGACCTTGTCGGCCGCTGCGCACGGCAAACGGCTCCGGCAACAGCTATGTTTTGACAAAGTTCTACTAGTCCATGCAGGATTCAAAGCTCATGCTTTAGGAACAACCTCTGAACCAAGACCCCTCCTTCGGTAGCTCGTGCGTGGCCGCATCTGGCAGGAAGAACTCGCCTCCAGGCAAGCAAGTAGGAAACCCTGGCTTAGGGCTTCGTTTCTCGGCTTCGGGCTTTGGGTTTAGGGATATGCGGTGTTAAGACAGGGCTTGGCACTCCCTCTCCCTCCTCTCCTCTCCTCTCCTCTTTACGCCCTATATAAACTCTGAAGCTCACAGGCCCCCAGCATCACCGTCCCAAGCGCCTGTTCGATGCGCCACACTGGGAGGCTCCTGGATCCGAAACTGAACCATAGACGGCGGTTTGGGGTTTGGGGCCAGGGTTTGTTTAAGGGTTTTAGGATTGGTCTTGGGATGAGGGCTTTGGCTTTTCACCCCAAACCACAGCTACTCCCAAACCACAAAACGCAGGAAGTTTTTGTAGGGTTAAGGTGGTAAAGGTTTCTGCTGTGACAGGGAGCCAGTCGAAATTCACGCGAATCTTGCAAGCAACCGACCCAAAACCTTCCAAGCTGCAACTTCAAAGCGGCGAAAAGCTTCCCGGCTATTCTGAATATTATGAGGGCATGGATCACTACTGACACGAATACTATTCCTTAGGGTTCCTCTTCCAAAACCCTGGCTCGTATACTCTCCAGGCTTCTATACGTACTACATTCCCAGATTTCGGATGTTTACTTAAAGCAGCTTCCTTAGGCAAACTTGGCGCCTGCTTCCGGTTCCCCTGACCTCGGCCGGTCTTCTTATGCAGGGAAGGAAGCTTCAGAGGATGGCATGACCTTGCAACCAAACTTGAACCGGGGCACCCATGTGCAAAATCCAAGAGTCTTTGAAGACTCTCTGTCAGCGTTCAGGATGTTGTTGGGATTATGCTTTTGAACCAATGACCATGTCTGGCGATTGGTACTACGACTGCTGATGAAGTCATAAATTCTCACGACAATCGTGGCAAGAACAACGCCCCGGTCATGCGGTGTCATCGTAGTTGTGCATCAGCCCTTCACCATTACCAGCCCAAAACCCTATGCCGGGAACCTCAGGAATCGCGATAATTCCTAGGAAAGCAGCAGTACAGAGCAGCAACCCTTGCCAAGAGCATGGCCACACGGAGAAGAGTATACTTGTTTGCCGCGCACACGACGTGCCCGAGACCCAGACGAGTTCGGAACAGATGACCCTGGAGCCGGCAGAGGTCGTCGTGAAGCCTCGTCAAAGAAGACTCTCCAGAATTCTTGGTGGGTTTTACAACGTAGATCCATTTGGGGTTTGGAGGTCTTCGGGCTTGGAGCTTGGATTTTAGGGCTGAAAATAGAACCTTTCGAGATTAGTACATGGTCTTCGAACCTTTCCTAGAAGCCCACATAAGGAGCACATCGGGGGCTTTGATTTTCTAGAACCTCCCGCAGTCCGGGGTGGGGTGCATAACCTTGGGTCAGCCATCAACATGGAGAGCTCCTGGGACTGCACGAACAATCCCTTGCAAGGCACCTACTTGGAGGTTCATGGGTAGTTATAAGTGGGTTATAAGTCCTCTAATATGGGTTATAAGTATAGTTGCCCTACTTATAACCCCACTTATAACTACCCATAACTACCCATGAACCTCCAAGTATGGAACCAACGCAGATCAAAACTCGAGAAGCTTCGCCTCGTCGTCCGCCTCTGCTGGTCGCAGAGCTGCAGGGCGCGGCAGCAGTTTTCCGAGCGTTCCACCTGGGGCTTCGAAGCAATTTGAAGAGGCTCAAGACGGCTATAGGCTGTAGTTAGAGTTATATTTCAAGGCTCTGGGTGTGGTAGGGTTTCAGGGCTTGGGAGCTTTGAGTGGGATGCAAGACGGTTTTTCACAGCTCCTACCGCTAAGCGGTCGAAGGTCTGACCGCAGGACCTCCTAGCAATGGCCTTTGCCGCCCCTTTTAAACTGCACTGCGCGCCCCGGAACTGTTGAAACTCCAAAAATGCCAAAGACCCTTGAAGCCCTCAAACCAGAAAACTAACACAGTGAAAACTGAAATCCCTAACGCGAAAGCCGAAGCCCTGAAGCCCTGCACAGCACCGCAAAGCCCCGAGGCCTCGAACCCAGCACGAAAACAAAAAACCCTGAAACCGTTAAAGAACAGCCCAAATCCACGGGAAAGCCCGTCTACAACCTTGATTTTTGGAAATGAACGTGCTGGTACTGCAGCTGCTAGAGCCCATTGGCCTTGTCCTTGGTATCTCCTAGAGGATTTGAGGAGTCCTGACCCTGCAAGTGACAAAGGACAGTGCGGCAACAAGCAGAGCTTGCACCCTTACACGGCCTCTAGACCCCGGCAAAAGCTCTAAATCCCTGCCTCCAGAGCCGCATGAAGCGACGCCACTTTCCTGAGAAGCAACGAAGAGGGAGGGGTTGAGGGGCTTGGGAACTTTAGGGTTTTAGGATTTTAGGGCTTGCGATAGGGGTCTCGGAAGCTTAGGATATCGTCTAGGGCCTTGGGTTTGGGATCTTAGGGGTCTCCAGGTGGTTTTGAGCTTTGGGGTGTAAGTACACTAGAATGGTGTTTCGTTTATGCGGTGTTGATACATGTGTGGAGCGGGGAGGGGGGAGGGGGTCTGAAGGCTATAAACAGACGAGGGAGCCGTGTGGAACCAAACCCCAGTAAACCCCAAGCCGTACACCTCCTATAAGGCTCCAAGAACGCGGCGCTTCGACTCTGTCCTGGTTGTAGTGGAGGTCCTGGCTTGGGGTGTGGGATGGTTTGGGGGGGACAGGGTGTTTGCGGTGTTTTACATGGCTTATATGGTTGCATTTTGCAAAATTTAGAAGTTGCAATTTGTCAGATTTTTCAAGGGTCCTTTCGGGGTTTGGTGGCTTTAGCGCTTCGGGGTTTCGGTCCTTATTGGACTTTAAGATTTCGAGCTTTGGAGCTTGAGGAGTTCATGTTCAGCCTTTCTGGCTTGGAGTCTATGAGTTAGGGTTCCGGGCTCTGTAGTTAGGGTTCAGGGCGTCGGAGCCGCAGCCGCGCTTAGGAAGTAATGTTTTCGGAGAACAGCGCTCGGGTGGGTTCCTTCGCGGGTGGCCTCTGACTTTTGTGGGGCTGCCTTTGGCGCTGCTGGGTGGGTTGTGCTAGCCTTGCAGGTTCTTCGGAGCTTTTTGGGGACTCTTGAGGTGGGTTCAAGCTGACATGAGGGTGTTTTCGGCTTGAGTTGAAGATGGCTCCAAGAATTCGCCTGTCTAGGGATTGTTTCAAAAGCTTCAAAACTGCCGGGGCCCGTTGTAGAGGCTCCTCACCCAAATCAATCCTAAACCCCCTAGGCCCCTTAGCCCTACCACCGAAATGTCTCGGCTGTCGCGGAACTGCTCTGGGCTTTACACGGGGCTTGCGGCTAACTCACCGGTTCTGCAGATTTTGGGGCTGAGGTTCCTAAGAAAAACTGTTTCCGGTGGACTTCGTGCGCCAGGGAGTCAAGGGCCTCTCAACCCCTTAAGCCCCCACGTCTTTAAGGGTTTGGTTGAGGATGCTAGGAGGAAGGGCTTGAAACTTGGTGTGAAGGGTTTGGGAACGAAGGCAGAGTCAAGCCCATTATTTCCGACACCCTACACCATCAACACCTCCCCAAGCATACATACTAAACCCCCCTCAGATTTGGCACCTCCACCATAGCGAGGTACTTCGAGTTTAACAACTCCTCCGCCACTTCGTCAGCCATGCTTGAAGGTTCAGGCATTAGGGTCTTGTTGCTTAGGCTTTGGGCTTTTGGATTAGGGGATCCGGTGTTCAATACGTCGCACAAGCCTGCACCTGGCAGCCTTTGAAAACACTGGTTGGAGGTTTGGGCAACCTGCGAAATCGGAGGGGTGCCTCCAAGGTTTAGAGACGTGGTTGCCTGATGCTGACAAAAATTTCTGAGTTGACTTAGGACCTTTGTGACTACAGTTTAGGGCAGCTTAGACTCAAGCTGAACGTATCCTGAAGCCCTGATTATCCCGCATCTCACGGATCACGGCCCAGGGCTTGTAGTGAGAGGTTTCGGGTTTGCGCAGGTTTGAACCCGACACCTCGTGTTATAGAACCCTGAAAAATGCCTTTGAAAAACCCCTGTCGAACCGTCCACAGGGCTCTTGTAGAATCCCCATTCCACCTCCTGACCCTCCGGTGCAGAGGCAGGAGACAGCAGAGCGACCTCAGCTGAAGGTTTCGCGTAGCACTCGAATCCTCGCGCTTAAAGCCCGGAACCCGAGATCCTCAACACCGAAAGCTGCAAGACAGGATAAACACGAAGCACTGTAACCTTTGCATGAAAATGGCTCAAGTACGTCGCAGAGTAGTCTCGTGCGTTTAGGGTTTTGTGGCCGTCGTGCATTGAAAGTTCCACGCAGTCGAGACCGCAACTCGAAAGTCCCGTAAGGCCGTCAGGATTAGGGTCTGAACTACTGATATTGATATCCCCTTACTATAAGCATACAATGGTATACCCCAAGAACCGATTTAAAACAGCCCCTATACATCGATTTGAAGCCCTATTGAACCCATTCTTAACCATAGTTGCTGCGTTCATAAGCCCCAAAAAGTGTACACTTTCAGTTTTACAGTGGGTTATAGTATCACAAAAAGTGTAAAGTGTATCCACTCAGCTGCAAAGTAACCGCTGCCAAGACAAGAAAACGACACGTGCAAAAACAAAAACAAACCTTATTCTAGCTCTTCAAGCCCCTATACTACTGGTTTGCATCTTCCGGCTGCAAGGACCCCGAAGGCCCTCCAGGCCCTAAGCACTAGACAAGAACAGAGACGCCCACAGCGCCACACCAAAGCTGCTGTTTCTGCCACACGGCTTTAGGGCCTCTGGGGCTTCCCCCACTAGAACACTATTGAGGCTAGACCCTGGCTTAGGGGGAAGTGGTATTTACCCTAATGAGGGGTGCTATTACTTCTTCACAAAACGAGTTGAAGCCCTCCAGACGTATAGGGAGACTACAACTCGTAAACACCAGAACTATATACCAGTGCCAGCTCCTTCAAACCCCAATTCTTCCCAACCCCAAAACCCGAAACCCCAGGACCAGCCAACAACCGCCAACGCTGGACCCAAAGACCCCAATCTGCAGCCCGACGAAACCGAATCAACCATGTAGAACCCTGTATAAAGCCCACCATGAAACCCACAGACACACACACACACACACATATAACCCTCAGCTTGGTTTCCCGGCCATTAGGTCCATGAGGCCCTGCACCCGACCCTCCATCTTATCATGCATCTCTTCGGCCTGGTGGGTTTCGAAGGGGGTTCATGTTCCTCTGGCTGGTTCTCTAAATTAGACTCCCTTTTTACGGCCCCCAGAATAACTAGTACGGTGCCCTTACAAAGTACCCCAAACGGGACCCTAATTCAACTTAGGGTGCATGATCATCTTCCTCGCGCTCAGAACAGAGCCTAAGTCGGATCTATACTTGGGATGGAAGCTTTCAAAACCTGGCGATTGAAAATCAGGGTCGCGTGCCGTTCTCAACAGAATGCACCTAAAGCCCCAAACAGTTTACGGAAGAGCTCACTGGATGCCACGTTTCTGCGACAGCCGCACACCCCAATGCCTCACGCCCTGAACCATAAATACCAGCCATGCATCTTGTAGCTTTAGACTTTGCAGTAAAGATCTGCGAGCCCCAACTCACAATCCTAAACCTAACTTGTAAATCCCCAGCCCGTGTGAATCCCGCATAATGATGGGCCCGGGCTAATTAGAAACGGTATGCCTGAGATTGGCATAGTAACAACTTCCAAATCCCTATTCCAATTAACCCTGAACCCTCAAAACTAAGCCCTAAACCCTGAACCCAAACCCCGAATCCTAAGCCCTAAATCGTAAACCCTACACACGAGGCGGACCTCTGCAACCCGCTCGCGGATTTGCTTGGCATCATCCTGGGATTTCCACGACCCTATTCTTGCCTGGTCAGGACGTCAGCAAGTAAGAACAGGGATGTCATAGCATGACGGAAGAGGGGCTTTCAGGGAATATCATGACCTACTGAGACTTCTGCAGTACCCTAATCTATCCCCAGCCTGGGTTGCTCGTTTGACTTTCGATGTTGGTACCAACTAGTCTTTTTCGTTCAAGGATAAGGTCTATGTCTATGGGTTCAGGCTTGACTTATCAGTGTTTGGGGCTGACAGCGCATGATTTGTCCACCCGTAAAACCATGCCTTTTTGTCAGCAAGAAACGTTCATTGTGGTTGTAACTGACTATTTTGCCAAGACCAACAACATTTTGCTACCGATCATGATGCTCATCGTGATCATCTTAAAGAGACTTTTGGTGATGTTCCGCCCTACTCCATTAACGCAGGCAGCTCCATGAACTCTGTTACGGGTTTCTTGTGCGTGTGGGGGCAAGACATCAGAATGGATATCATATTCGACTTCGCAGTTTGGGAAATCCTCAACCGCGAATCTGGCCATGAAGCCGCGAACGCGAACCTACACACAGTCCTCCTGCTGGTCGAGGATGGCTTGCCACATGAAGCCCTCTTGCTCCAGCGTCTGCACATGGAAGAAGGGACAGCCACATGAGCAGTTATGAAACCCCGAACCGCAAGCTCCATTGCACCTTAAGTTGAAGCAAGGCCCGCAGGGTTACAGCCCTTGCTGCAAATCAGCCAGCTCGGATATCAGACTTGAGAAAATGAGATGCTGTTGCCGATCGGAGTTTTGGAGACTCAGGGCCTTTCCAGCTTAAGAGGTACATCAGGCTCTCCAGGTCCCCCACGACCCGCCATAGCCCTGAGCCCCGAACCCGCAAACCCTAGAACCTGGAACCCAAAACCCTAAATCTTGAAAATCAAGGCTTAAAACACCAAACCCGAAACCCTGATACCAAAAAACCCTAAACCTTTCTAGAACGCTGAGGTATCTCTCAATGACTTTTATACAAACCCTTTCTACAACCCCTATAGAGCCCTCACAACCCCGGGACCTTACCCGGCAGCCGTCTTTTGTTTCTAGTTATTACAGACCCTCAAACCATCATACACCCCGAAACCTGGGCCCCTGAAACCCGCGCCCAAAATCCCCAAATCCTTAAACCCTAAACCCCGAAGCCCCAAATCCCTAAACCCCAAAGCCCAAATCCCTAAACCCTAAACCCCAAAATCCCCAAAATCCCCAAATCCCTAAACCCTAAACCCCAGAGCCCACCTCCTGGTGGCTCTGCATGACCTGACGGAGCTCGCGACACTGCGAGAGGGCCTGGGCCCCCAAAGGCACCTGGCCGAGGTTCCCCAAAGCAGATAATAATAATAATAATAATAATATCATTATTTTTTTATTTTTATTATTATTATTAGTCTTACGATTATTCTTATTCTGCTTACTTTAAGTACTACTATTTTTACTATGATTACAAATAGTGATGCGATTATTATTATTATTATTATTCTTGTTACTATTACGACCTTTACTATGGTTATTACTAGTGTTATCATTTCGATTATTATTATTAGTAGTAGTAGCATCCTTCTCATCTGTTAGTATCAGGGTTCTGGTTGTTAAGATTCTTATGATTATTATGACGACAAGGCCATTAAGCTCACGGGTCCAAAAGGCTTAGGGTCCAGAGCTTCGGGCTTTCGGGTTTGGAGCTTTCAGGTTTGGGTTTGAGCTCTTGTTGTGAGATTCTGCCCGGTACTCCGTTCTCCTTAGAAACCCACCCCAAACGCGAGCTGGGTACCAAAGCTGACTGGCGGAGTTTTCTGAGGTGATTCTGATCACTCGCGTCGGCGAGGATCCTTGAGTGAAGGTTTGCAGAGGCTCGACGAAAGAGTTTAACATCGCCATGGGGGCCTTAGCGGTATCTCTATACTGCAAAGTATTACGACCCTTAAGGAATTGTAGTAAGAGTGGTAGTACGGATTAGTATGGCCCACAAATAGCCGAAGTGGGATGATGGGGTTCGATTTGGGAGGCCTCAGCTTATGCAGGCTACAGGCTGGTGAACGTGTTGGAAGACAAATGGAATCCCAGTTGTCGGCCCATGGCCATAAGAAGCTACTGTATCATGTTGCAAGCAGCCGGAGTTTGAAGGACGGGCCTAGTGTTTTGAGGTTTCGGTGCGAGGGTTTAGGTGGGAACTTCCATGTTTGGATCTAGATCCCTGACCGACAAACTCCGTCCCTTACTTGTTCAGGTCCTCAATTCGACGGTGTACATGACAAGCCCGGTGACAAGCCCTGTGAAAACCCAAGTAATCATGTAAAGCAACTATATAACCGGTGCGAGGTTGAGAGTTTTACGATCCCGCCTTTGGCAATGGGCAGCACGGCGGTTGGACATGGCCGCTTTCGGACCTTTGCCAGGCGAAATGTCGGCAGCTTCGCCCACGTGAACTTGGTGAGAAGACATCGCTCTGACGAACTCCGCGTTTGCAATGCAGCTCGGGATTACCAGAACCCCGAAAGCCGTCCGTCTCCCAGCACTAACACCCTACCGGGTTTACAAACCCGAAGCCCCAAACCAACCCGAACCCCTAACTTAACTGTCGCGAGCTCAAAGCTCCATTTAAATCCTAAACCCTGAACCCAATGTTGCCAAAACAACCGTCAAACCCAAAACCCAAAGCCCAAGCCCAAATTCCCGACGCACAGCAAGGCAAAGATTCCCTGAAAGCCATTCCCGGTTTGGGGTTTAAGGTTTAGGGTTTAGGGTTTCTTCTTTGACTTCAGTGCTCCCTTATGACAACAGCATATACAGGGCCCCCAGAGCCTGTCTTTAAAAAACTACATGCACAGTCAACAGAGCGTCCCACTAATGCCTGCATCCTGGAGCTTGATCCTTCCCCAAACCCTCATCAATCCAAATCCCCAAACCTAAACCCTTCGAGATTTAGCATTGAGAGCAATCGGGCATGGGGATGTTGTTATGATGGTCATGTGCAAAATTTCCACGAGGGGCGGATGGCTGTCCTTGCTTGAGGGGGACTTCAGGCAGATGCCTTGCTAAAGTCAGGGCGACGCTGAATTCTGAACCTTCTTGCAGCGGTCACTGCTTCGGCAATAACGAGCCCCGGGCGGGGACGATGCAGCAGACAACGATAGGTCCGCAACATCGACCTGCTCAGGTTGTAGAGCTTGATTCAGGGTTTAGGGCTTATGGTCAAGGTCTCAAGCGTGGGGAGGCGTGGGGTGACGTGGGGTGGTTGGCGGGGAGCTCCTTCCTGGATTTGGTAGGTTTAGGGTTTTTGCGTTCAGGGTTTAGGGCCTAGGGAAATCGAATTTATCGGCTCGAGGGGCCCCACAAAACCAAATGCTAGAGACCAGGAAGGGCCCCCCCTGCGTAGCCTTTACATAGCCGCTACATAGCTTTTAAATGAGCCTTGCATGGCACTTATACCTGACATAGGCTTTGCAAGGCACTTGCACAGCCCTTGTTTTCGTGGTACTTGCATATTCGATAAACCCCACTGTTGCTGGTATGTGCCGGCACACGACAACCCAGGATCTTGATCCCCTGTGGCCATTAACCCGCCATGAACACTTACATATGCTGCACAAGCCGGGCCTCTCTAGTGCTTACACAGGACTTTCTTGAGCCGTGTATGCAAAAACTTGGAAGCCGTATGTAACCAGTACCTGCGGCCTTTCTGTCGGCAAAACACACTACGCACCCACTAACTACCCACGTGAAAATTCCCTTGATCTAGGGGTTAGTGTGGGCAGATGGGTTCGATGAGTAAGGATTTGGACTGGTTTATGACAATGTTAAGTTCTTGGGCTAACGGTGTAAGGATTGCGTTGCGAATCGTATCTAGTTAAAGATAAGTTTAAGGCTTAGCGTTTGTTCCTGTAAAAAGCCGGCACAAAAAGATAGTTCAAGATCCAACCAGCGTAACCCCAGTCAAAGGGAGGTTGAATCCGATGGCGCGGCTTTGGAACAAACCTCAAGGGGAGACTCGAAACCCTCAACTCTAAACCCTGAAACCCCTAGCCCAAAACAGCCCAAACACAAATACAACAATCCTAAACAGCCAAGAGGGCCCTCAAGCCCTAGGGGTACTTCTTTATTCGAAAAGGGTTTGGGGGTATTTCTGACTGTAATTATAACAAGGAACCCCCAAATAGTACTGGTAGTTAATTTTTCAGGCCCTGTATTGGGCCACATTCTACTTTGGGCCTGTCCGCTCGACAGCCAGCCGGAGATCTCCCACTTCGTTGCATCAATCGGTTTAGGGCTGAGGGTTTAGGGGTTTAGGGGTTAAGGGTTTTCTTTCAACATCGCAGCCTCTTTCGCAGAGGTTAGGTCGATGTTCTGCGTGCCGGATATCTGGGGCACTGCGGGCGAAGCTCTGGGGTCTTCCTGCTCTTGGCGAGTCTCCTACCATCCGCACTGCAGGGCCTGCGCCCAAGTTGGGACGGCGTCCGGGTCTGGGTCCCGCTTCTCGGAACCAAGAGGCACGCCCTCGTTACCCTGTGCGTTCCGCTTCTAATTTTCCTGCTTCTCCTTCTCTTTTTTGGGATTCGGCCTCCTGCATGCACCTCCGTTCCTTTCTCTCCCGATCGTGTGCGATCTGGAAGCAGACCGTTGTCGTGCTCAGGCTCACTTGAGCTGACCGTGCGGCCAAGGGTGTCGCGACCGCGGGCTGGCGTTGCACCCCCACTCGACGCAAGCCAATCGTCTGGCGCTGAGCAGCGCACGCTCCACAGATGTAGATGGCGCAGACCCGGCCCCAGTTGACACAGGTGGCACGCCGACCGACACCGAACCAGCTCGCTGATTTGCGCAACTGAAGCTGCCCAGTTCCTGCTGGCTTTGCTGAGCCGCACACATCTTCCCTCCCCTGCTTCTCAGCAGCCTGCAAGCTCGGCTAGAGAATGGCGTTGGTTTCCGCCTGCCTTCACCAAAAACGCTCAGCCTCCACCCAAAACCTAAAGTTTACCTAAAGATCCCTACACCCTAAAACCCAACATCAAATCCAAAGCCCCCTAAACCTCAAACCCAAAGCTCCCTAAACCTCAAACACAGAACTCCTTAAATGAATTCCAAACTTTACCGGAATCCCTACAGGAACCCTTGTGGGAACCGTAAGGGTGATGTAGGGACCTTAATCATTAGAATAGGATAGAATAGGGTTTTGGGGTCTATTACATGATTTACATTTAATAAGGAACCCCCCAAACCCTATTCGAATAATTAAGGCCCTTATATTAGCCCTCAGAAAAAGTTCCAGTTCTGTCTGGCGCCTCAGCCGTCGGCGTCGCAAAGAGGACGCGAGCTGCCTCCAACTGTTTGACCTGGGGTGCTGAGGGAACATAGGTTTGGGGGGTTTAGGGTTTAAGGTTAAAGGGATGCGGGTTTGGGGCTTAGAGCTTTTGCGGTTTGGAGGGCTTGGCATTGGAGTTTAGGGTTTTATGATTCAGAGGGCTTGTGATTGTCTTGAAGAACTTGAGGTTTTAGGGAGGGTGGGGTGAGTGGGCCAGTGCCTCGAGTATCTGGCCAAGCCAAGACGACGGTCACGAGCATAATGATGACGACAAGAACCGACAACGATGACGGATGAGGAAGAGAAGGAGCATGAACATGATGATGACCATGACCATTACCACGACCACGACCATGACCATGACCATGACCATGCCGATGCTGATGCCGATGCTGGTGGTGTGCTGCTCGTGGTGGTGATGATGATGGTGGTGATGATGGCGGCAAGCCAACACCGACTTGGATTATCATGGCAGCTACTCGTTTTATTCTCCCTCGTCCTTCTCTCTTTAAGGTGCTCGTTTTCTCTGTAGGGATGGCGTGACTTCACATACATGTGTGATCGCCATAAGAGTAGGCATGCTCAAATGAGCGTTCGTGCGGAGCCGCGACACAGCGGCCGGGGCCAAGTGCCCTGTCGGCACCCGCTGGCTTGAAGAGACGGATCTTTGGCTGGGAGGGAAGAAGATAGGCAACCCCACACCCTCTATTGGGTAACCCAGAGGCAGACGTTTCCCCGACCTCTCGAACCCTTCACAGATGATCAAACATCCGGGTCTGGCCGTCGTCGACAGGCACTCGGTATCAACCCTCTTTACCTGATCAAAGTCACCTGAAGGTCGAAGAGTTGAGAATGAAACCTAACCACTAAAGCCTAAGCCCTAAGCCTAAACCCTAAACCCTAAACCCTAACAATATGGAGCCCCTCTGTTTCTAGCAGCCACGCCCACCGGCTTTCTAGGCCGCGGGCGCGTAGCCGGCTCGTCCGAAGGGCGGCGAGAAGATCTTCCTTCGAGGGGTTACGGTTTAAGTTTGGGTTCTAGGGTTTAGGGCAAAGCGGTTAGGGAGACTGGAGCTCCGACTGTTCCAGACTGTCGTGGTGGTTCATAGAATCTCAAACGCTTTTTGTAATATAAGGCTGCACAGGGCTTATTATAGGGTGCGTTGAAGAACTTGTCGGGTTTGAGTATTCAGGCCCCAAATGTATTTATGAAAATCTCAAAGCTTCCCATCGTATTCGGGGGCTACTGGTTTTGGGTCGCAGGAAGCGGGCGGTTGTGTTGACTTCGTCGGACTGACGCCTTCAATGCTTGGAGAGCTCCGCAGGTCACCTAAACCCTGAAGCCACAAATCCTACACGCCAAAACCTACACTCAAAAACCCTGAAGCCCTCAACCCACACCCCAGAAAAAAGAAACAAAGCCCTGAACCCTAGATGCCGGAGCTTTCGAAGGCTCAAGAGCCGAAGCCAAGACCAAAGTCTAACCATTCAGGAACACACGGAAAATCCCAAACCTTAACATAGGGGTCTGAATGAATGTAGGGGCCTTCATCACTAGAACAGGGTGTCGTGTTGGATGACCGTATTACCCTATGGTTGATGTAAGGACTGCTCAGGAATGGTGTTGGTATTCGTTCGGGTTTCTATACTAAACCAAGTCCCCAGCCTTTTCGGCCCGCAGACGCCGGAGCCGCTTTTGTCTGCGCTCCGCAGATGCCGTGTTTGGAGGCCTCAGTAGCAACGGAGAATTTTGGGATGGGGGCTGCTGAGGTCTACGGGTAGGGTTTAGAGTTTGGGATTAACTTGGGGCTTGCTTGGAAGGGCTTATCAAGATTCTATAGGCTTACGCTCAGGAAGCATTACGGTTTAATTAGGGAGGTGCTGGGGATTGCTCGCACATAATTCGTTCTCTAGAACTGAACAGTGATGCTTGTGGTTCCTCCAAAACACAACTGTCGCTCCAAGCTTGATACACATTACTGGAATCCAAGGCTCCAAGGCTTTCATCAAAAACACCATCGTCCCATAGCCCAGTAACCCTTTCAAACCCAGAAAACAAGTCCAAAACATGTAGAGCCGACATCTCGACTCCTGAATTTCAAACCATGATGCCTAAAGCCTAAACGTACAGACCCCAAAGCCCTGAAGCTCAACATCTACTGAGGGCTTAGAGATAAGATTAGTTTTTTATTGAAAGCTCGTCAAGACCAAAACTCATTCCATAGGTCATGGCTGCCTTTTGCTGACCCTTGGCAGAGTCTCCTGCCAATCTTACTGTGGCAGCTGACCTGGATATCAGCTGAAGCGCCAATATGCTTTGACCGTCACAGCTTTGTATTGCCAGCATGGGTGCCGGTGGTTGTCAGAGGAGTCCTTCTTCGCAAAGCTTCAGCTCGAGGAATGCCAGGAGCTCATTCCACTCGGGGCTGTCTTTGTAGCAGAAGCGGTTGAAACCTTCCTGGCCGACTTCTGGGACATGCAAACTGTGCAGTGGAATGTGATAATTCTGCCCTCCCTTCGGTGGCAGGCGTTGGGTTTTGGCGTACAATTCAGGGTTTTTGGGAGCGTGGAAACCTCGAAACTCCTGAATCCTCCGCTGCAAAGCCTTCAACCCAAGGCCTACAAATCCAGGAAACTGCCATGGAACCCCCAAGCTCTCTTCGAAAACAACAATAGTCCAGGCTGGAACAGGCAGAATGGTAGCGAAGAGATCTACCTGCCCGGGCGCCCGCGCATGGTGCAATCCTGGGGCGTGGGTCACATCGAGGATTTTTCAATCGTCTAAGCTACAAGGTCTCGGGCTTTCTCCGGGCTGTCATGGACCTCGAAGCAGTTGACGGCCAGTGCTCAGCCAAGAGAAGACTACGGGATTGGGCTTCGGGCTTCGGATCTTCAACTTCAGAATGGATCATAGGCCCCATAGGCTCTACAACGCTAAACCACAAGTGGACGAACCCAGGCGATTGTGGTTTCCATGCGCACAGCACCATTTACTAGGTAAGCCACCGGATCCTTCAAGTGAAGATGAGGGGGCGCAGTGGGAGGCAGAGCTCAGGATGAGCCTTCTCCTCAGCGCCTGAAGAGACGGAAGCTACATGGCCACCTGGCAGGGCGTGGAACCTAAACTCTAGACACCCGACCTGGCCGCTATGCCCTAAACCATAAAGCTCCCGAAACCCGGAATGCTACTTACCATGCTTCCCTGGACTCTAGTCGCCCCTCTCCTAGCTTGGAATTGCAAGTCAACTTTAAAGGCGTTGCCTGGCAAGGTGTCCCACACATGAACTGATTTGGCAAACCCCACATGCCGGATGCCAAGGCTTTAGCTTCCTAACTTGGGGGGTTGCAAGCAAAAGCTTTAGCGGTTTGATCTTTGTCATGCGGGGCCCAGAGGGCGAAGGTTTGGGTCGCGGTAGGGTTCAGGAAACTTACGCAGCAATTGAAACTCTGCTACGCAGACAAGCTGTATGTAAACTCACCTGCGTACAAGGTCAGTAACAGAAAAAAACCATATACCTACTGCCGTTCGAGCCATGCTAGCCTCAAGCGGCCCTCCACCCTAAACCCTAAATGCCAAAACTCAAACCCCAAAAACCTACAACCTAAACCTAAACGCCCAAACCCTAACCAACCCCCTAGGCCCTAGACCCCCAAAAGCCCTCAGGCCTCTACCCTGAGCCCTGCTGCAGACAACAAGCCCCCAAAGCCCGTGTGCGCCTGCGTGCCCGGGGCGCTGCGAGGGCGACCCGGCCATTTCCCCCATTAGCAGGGCCAGGCTCGTCCGGCGGAACGCATTGAGAATAATTAGAAAAGGGTTTTCGCATACATTAGCATACATTATAGTATAAGTATAATAAGGAACCCAAGGAATGAGATTGCTATTTGTTTAAGTTTTATAGGCCTGTTGGTGGGGTGTTGTCATGGCCTTCTAGCTTGGAATTCTTAGCGGCTAGAGTGGGGTTCCTTTAAGGGTTGAGTGTTCTGTGAGCTCGTGGGGCAATAGGGTTTTAGCACTTTGCAGCTCTGAGGCTCCAGGGCTTTAGGGAGTTTTGGAACCCTGCGGGGGTTGGGGTTTGGCTTGTGGCTTGGCGAGCGGGATACAGCTCGTTTGCGGTTGAGGATTGAAACTTCAGGGCTTCAGAAGGTGTAGCGCAAGATGGCGGGAGCATGAAGACGCGCCAGCACAAGGCAAGCAAGACGAAGAACAGCTCACACCGGAAACCTGCCTAAACCCTAAGCCCTAAAGCCCTAAAGCCCTAAACCCTCAAATCTGAACCCTAAGCACAACAGCCCCTGAACCCCGAAGATCCCAAACTCCGTTGAAGACGCGTCCTTTTTGCACAGGAGCTGGCAAGGGATGACCAAAAGTTGAAGTTCAGGCTGAGCTGAACTTAAACACTTAGCCCTAAACCGTAAACTAAAACAACAAGAACCCTGAACCCTTCAACCCTAAACCCGTAAGCCCCCTCAACCCTCAGCCCGGAAGCCTAAACCGCTGGCTTCGGGATCCAAGAGGTCTGGTAGCAACATCTCGCCTTTCGCCAGCACTGGGCAGTCCGGAATCACCGGCTCCTCTTTGAAGATCGCCGCCTCTCAAGAAAGATCTTTCAGTTTTTGCTGAGGGTTGGACAAGGGCTCTGTCAGGGTATTCTACAAGAGTTCGACAAGCTTGGTACGTAACCTTTCTAAGCCCTGAACCCTACAAGCCCTACCCTAAGCCCCAAAACCCTTAACATCCTCCGGCATTACGAGGAGAGGTAATGGGTTGAAGGTGTTTCCGCCCTGGGCTCATCTCAGGAAGTGCAAAGCTTCACGGGCGATCGCTGTCAAGACTGACATTGAACGCTGAACCCTAATCCCGACGTCCAAGATTCCCTTGAGCTCGGATTTCCAGTTCAGCATCCAGACAAAGGTTCCGCGATCAAATACCTCCAGCTCCGCCCTTCGTGGAGGAGCCGGTACTGTCATCACATCACCCTCCCCGTCAAGACCCGGAAGCGAAAATACGCTGCCCTCGCGTTGAACTGGCCACTGCTACTGGGACTATCGATATATCTCGAGCGACACCCGAAAATCTTCTTCAAAGTCGTTTCAGTACCCGCTGTACCCTTCCTTCGGTGGGATCTGCACATCGCTGTCGACCAAGGATCCGTGCTGTTGGGCTGCAGCGGGGCCTCGGATTCGGGATCTTAGGCTTTTGATGATGTGACTGTTAAGTAGTACTAGGCTACGGCATTGCAGAACACCTTGGGCCCGGATGTTCTGTGGCACGGTCGGGGACCACGACGATGACGACGACGACTCTTGCTGCTGCAGTACAACGACTGCTTTTATTGTGGTTACTTCTTTTTCACAGTCAGTTGTAGGGAACTTGGGCTTTCGCGTTTGTACACACTGTTAGACCCACCCCTCCCAATGGACCTCGCCGCGACACGAGGCATGCGATATGGCAGGACCCACTTCTGGACCAGGAGTCAAGGTTGTACTCCTTGTGATTTCTGGTTCAGGGTTTACTGGCTCAGCCTTCGTGCGTAGCCCTTGGTAGCAAGCCAGGGACTCAGGAATTGGGCTTTTGGAGTCAGGAGTTAAAGCTGTCCGTGAGAAAACGCAGAGCAGACTTGCGCAGGCTATTTCGCAAGTGTCCGGGCTGGAGGTCCCGAGTGTAAGAGGCGTACTTTTCCGGGGATCCTCAAGAGGACCCCAATGCAGGGAACTACTGCCTGCTGGCTGACTTGGGGCCAGAGATGCAATTCAGGGTTCAACACTTACGGCCTTCGGCTCACGAGGTTTACAGCAGCAGCGCTTAGTCACATCACGTTTTTGTTGGAACAAGTCATGGTCACATCAACATGTATGGAGTTCGGAGTTGAGGGTCATGTACTTGCAGGCTCCATTGCCTGACAACAGCAGCACCATAAGTTCGATGAGCGACAGACCCTGTGCCCGCGACATTGGCTGCGCAGAAAGTTCTCTGGATTGTCCAACTGCTCATTCACCATCGGAAAATGGGCCTTGTCGGCTTGAAGCTCCGAGAGAAGCCTAGCTCTGAACCCGCAACCTGGGACACTCAGGTCTACAATTTCACCTAAACCATAAACCCTACTGGTAATCTAAACTCATGGGGCCTGAATAGCGCGCTTGGCTGCTTCGATGGTGAGGATGTACATGCCTCCGGGAACACGAGGGCATGCGCCAAACCATTGTCACACTCACACAAGCAACGTCAGTAGGTACGCTGACGGGCACGGAACGACCCCTGTAAGGGAACAGTCATAGGTTTGGGGTTCGGGACTTCAGCTACAGTCTAGAGGGCACCAGGGTGTGGAAGGCCTTCAAGGCCATAGACATGCTGAGGTCGGCAAATCAGGCATCGCAACATATTGCATACCCCAAACTCTAAACCAGAAGCCCCACGACCCTAGAAGCAGCAAGCCCCAAACGATGCAACTCTAAAACCAGAAGGCCACATAAACTCAGTCTGGCGAAGCTTGATTCCTACACCGACAGGCCTGGCCGCAGAAATGGCAACAATGCCACAACTCACACGCCCTATGAAGGCCTGAGTTTACCAACCTGAAAGATTAGACTGAGTTGCTAATACTGAGTTGCTAGTAGTTTACACTGCATGAAATACCCCTGAACCCTGAACCCTGAACCCTAAAACCCTAAACCCTAAATCCAAGGTCATCAGGGAGCCCCACAAGTCGAAAGCTGTTCCCGGCATCCGGAAACTGCTGTTCAACCCTAATCCTTGCATGTTGGTTTGGACATGTTCAGGCTAGTTAGGTTTAGGGTTTAGGGGGCTTTAGGATTTAGGCTAAGGGTTTAGGGGGGTAAGTAGGGTCTGGATTGGCACGGTGCCTGTATTGTAGCCGGTCCCCGCCAGGATGTGCAGTGGCGGGCGGCTCTGCTGGGGACAATCGCCCCCTTGGATTTGAAGGTAGTCCCAGTCTTTCCTTACATGATGAATCTTCACTGCTCTTCAATACGGTGCACCGGCTCCAAAATCCCTTATCTAGGCCACCCGAAACCGCAAAACCCCCAATGAATACTACACAAACCGTTACACACCCCAAAAAAACTTAACTGGAACCCTGCCCTCGCCCCCTCCAGAAAACAACAAAAACTAAGCGAAACGCCAACAGCCGCCCAGGATCCCGGGCGCGGGAAGCTGGGAATTCCCCAGCTGCCCAAAGAGTGCCTCGAGCCCAGGGTGGAAGAACCTGAGGTTTAGGGCCACAGAGAAGCCTTACCAATGTGAATGCGTTAGATGACAGGAGCGTGGAACTATAGAGAGAGACGATGAGGGGACCACTGTTAGTAACTATTCCAAACTCAAGATCATAAGGTTTTAGGGGCTCAGAAATACTGGATTGTTCATAAGGCGTGTACTGGACTCGTATAGGTGAGGACTGGCGAACTGCAGGCGATCGCCGCACAACTCGTTGTGGAAGCCCTAGCTGAAATCAGCCTGGATCTAAAGGGACCTTCGAGAGACAACAGCATCGTTCAGCTTTGTTGTCGCATGCCCCTATCATTAACGGACTGGGCATGATAGCTCGCTGTACTTCATGAGCTCATTTCTCAATAGGTAGAAGGTTGTTTCTATGGTCCTTTTGTCAGCGTCGGGTTGCATGGGGCGTTGTAGGGCTTCAAAGGCTGCTTAGAGTGCATCGGCCCTTTCTCTCTCCGTCCCTGGCCTGCCTCGTAGGGATTTAAAGTTGAGGGTTTCGGGCTTCCAGGGCTTTGGGCTTTGGCTAGGGTGGGCTTCATGGATGAAGCTTACTATCCAGGTTCTTCCATAAGGTGTCGTACAAAAAGGCTTGGGGCTTATACGGTCAAGGGCCTAAGGACTTTGGGGAAATAACTGGGTTTAGGGTCAGGATTCTATTCTGCGTGCAGACTTTGAGGGCACAGGATTAGGATGATGAGTTGTAGGATAAGCAGCTTGCACTTTAGTGTTTCGAGCTTGGATTTAGGATATAGATCACTGGGTCGGCTTTCAGGTGTAAGCTCTGAACATTTCAGATTCGGGCTGGGGTGGTTGTTTCACTGTTCAACATACGTGCTTGCAGACTGGTACGGCGTGTACTAGTGACCCTATTGAAGGTAATGATGCTACCAATGCTGTGCTATACTATGCCATTGCGACGAAGACAAGTACGGTTTAGGGACGTTCGGACGCGGGACCGTAAGAACTTGCCTCAAGTTTGGGGTATGTTCTGCAATGATTTTAAACGGAACCCACATAATCACATTAGTAAGCATTACGGCCTCCATATTGTCGAAACTACACGTGACACTTCATGCACCGAGATGCATCAGGTCATCCTCCATGAAGATCCCCCAAGGGGCCTCGAAAGACGGGGCGGGATTTGACAGGGGCTGTAAGCTTTAGGGTCCACGGCTCAGGGTTTAAGGTTCAGCCTTCTCTATTCAAGGATCTCACCCCAGGGTTGAAAGGCTTGGCTTTCGTTTAAGGGCGCAGGGTGTTCCGGTATAAAGCAGCACAAGTGCACACCATGATGCCAGGCAGGGCAACATGAACATAAGGATGAGCAGAATTTCTGCCTCTTTCCCGCAGAGGGCCGTGGTCAAGACTCATAGGACGACTTGTTCAGATCCTGACGATGGGAAGGGATCCCTAACGGTTATCCGTAAAGGGGTCGAAGCTTGGGTCGCGGACCCTTTGGATCCAAAGGGTCCCTCGCCCCCACCATCAGACTTTGTTTGCTCGTTTTTCCATGCCGTCCGCCCTTCCAAGTTGGTGTTGGGCATCACCGGCATAGCTCTGCTTCCTTGGCGGGTAGTAGTAGTAGTAGTAGTAGTAGTAGTAGTAGTAGTAGTCGCCCCCCCCCCCCTACCAACTACACTTGCTTAAAACCATCTTAAGAGCACATCAGTTTTACTTGGTATTTACAGCACTTTCGTCATGTACGATCATCATAAGAGGCCTCAAAATCCACTTGCCGAGTTTGCTAACTCGGCCTCTTGATTTTGGACTTGCTGCGGGGGGGGGGGGGGGGGGGGTGGGGGGGGGGGGGGGGG